GGGGGGGGGACAAAACAGTATAATGTGGCACGACATGAGAGTGGGGTTAAAACTGTTCATCAAATAAGTAAGTCGTCCAATATTATTCAAAGAAGGACCCTAGTTGTATGTGAAACTGGTAGTGACTGCCACTTTAGAAGCTGAGTTGAAAAGAAGATACAAATAAAATGTTGGCAACAAGCTCTCATCGTATCAAGTATAAAACAAGAGATTACAAAGAATTGAAGTCACCAAACCATATTGCAATAAACACAAGGGTTAGTTGTCAAACTAAATGATCTAATTTTTGACATAATTCCGCTGAATGCCCAGTCTGTGAGGAACAAGACTACCATCCTGTCTGATCTTGTTATCACGTCAAAGCTGTCCTGGTACTATTCACAAAGACGTGGCTATACCAACATTGAGATGGAGTTCTACTGACAAATGCATCAAGTCGTGATCACAAAACTGTTAGTTATCCAAGGATAATAGGCTAAAAAGGGGGGTTGGGAGGGGGTTGGGGGGGTCTGTGTCGTGTTTGTAAAGAAAGCTTTCTATGAAAGCCACACAAATCTGAGTCTACGACAGTTACGAATGCTTGGAAATGATGACAGTTTTATGCATTTAGATCTATTCTAGATATCTACCTTCCATCGAACAGGAAAAATCTATACAATACATTTTTTTTTATCGTATTGCAATACAATCTTGATCCTTGTGTCGAAACCAAGATCATGCCCTTCATTATTGGGGATTTCAACTTTCACTTTGAATCCAAAGAGAATTGAGAAGCGCCTACAGTGAATATGCATTGGAGAAGTACAGGACAATAGCTAAAGATGTCAAGAAAAGACAAGGAGGAATTCATGAACAGGCTAGCAGAGAAGGCAGAGGAAGCAGCGATAGGAGGGCACATGCGAAACCTTTACCAGACCACAAGGACACTTTCTGGAAAATACGGGAAACCTGAAGTACCAGTAAAGGACCAAGAGGGATAACCATTTTTGGAAAGGAAGCTCAGTCCAAACGATGGGTAGAGCATTTCAACAGTCTCCTGAACAGACCACCACCGAGTAACCCACCAAACATCCTGCCAGCAAGAAATGAGTTACCAATCTGCTGTGATGCTCCTTCAAAACAAGAGATTCTGGATGCCATTAAGAAGCTGAACAAAGGTAAAGCGGCCGGTCCTGACCAGATTCCACCTGAAGCCCTAAAAGCAGATGCCAATGTGACGGCAGACATCCTCCTCCCACTGTTTACCAGGATCTGGAATGAGAGTAAGTACCCAAAGGATTGGAAAGAAGGACACCTCGTGAAGCTTCCAAAAAAGGGGGATCTCAGCAACTGCAGCAACTACAGAGGGATCACTCTTCTCTCAAAACCAGGTAAGGTCTTCAACAGAATCATTCTGGGGAGGATCAAGACAGCAACGGATCCAAGACCACGGGATGAACAGGCTGGTTTCCGGAAAAATCGCTCAACCACCGACCAGATTGCCACGCTCAGGATCATTGTGGAACAGTCCCTGGAGTGGAACTCCCTGCTGATCGTCAACTTCCTTGACTATGAAAAGGCTTTTGACAGTGTAGACCGAGCAACACCATGGAAGATACTGAGACACCACGGAATCCCACAGAAGTTGGTGAACCTCATTAAGAGCATGTACGAAGAGACAAGTTGCGGGGTTGTACATGATGGCCAGCTCACTGACAACTTTGACATCAAGACTGGTGTGAGACAGGAATGTTTATTATCATCGTTCCTCTTCATATTGGCAGTTGACTGGCTGATGAAGGAAACCACCAGAGGACACAGAAACGGTATACAGTGGACACCATGGAAACAGTTGGACGATCTGGACTTTGCAGATGACTTGGCGCTTCTGTCACACTCTCAGGAACAGATGCAAGCAAAGATGACAATTTTAAACAGCCTATCCGAGTCTGTTGGATTGAAGATCCACCCCGGAAAGTCGAAAGTCCTAACGATAGATACACGGCGAAAGGAGCAGGTCACAGTACAAGGAAATGCACTAGAAGTAGAATCCTTCTGCTATCTTGGGAGTATAATTGACAGAGAAGGATGAACAGGCGCTGAAATAAAGTCCTGCATTGGAAAGGCACAGGCTGCATTTATTTCTTTGAGCAGGATTTGGAGGACCAGGGATATCTCATTACGAACAAAGCTTAGAATTTTCAACTCAAATGTGAAGTCAGTCTTGTTATATGGATGTAAGACGTGGAACGCATCCCATATGTGCATAAAGAGGATCCAGGTTTTCTTGAACACGTGTCTGAGGAGGTCAAATGGACAGACAAGATCACCAACGAGGAAAGTGTTAAGAAGAACCAGACAGAGCCCGGTCAGAGATGAGGTAGGAAGAAGACTTTGGCGATGGATTGGACACGCTCTCAGGAAGTCAAGCAGCTGCATAACAAGAAAAGTGTTAGATTGGAACCCACAGGGTAAAAGATCAAGGGGAAGACCTCGTGGAACCTGGAGATGAGTCACGGAAATGGATGTACAAAAAAGTGGGAAGACGTGAAGTGACATCAAGCGACTAGCCCAGGATAGGGAAAAGTGGAGAGTGTTTGTTCGTGGCCTATATCCTGCCACATGGTGAGAAAGGCAATGATGATACAGTGAATATCATTCTTAAAGCCAAGAAATGACATGCACATGGAGTACAGAAAGTTATGAAACCTACCCTGGGTCCAATTATAAGCTGGACTGGACCCTCACTAGTGACTCTCATCAAGTTTGGTATTTTCTTTTTTTGTGTTTGTTTGTTGTTGTTGTTTTTTCTCGTAGCCTGATTTATCCGCCGTTGGCTTTCTTGGCCAGTCATGTTTACACCAGAGCCCTTTTAACTTTAGCCAGCTACGTTTCGGGGGTGCCGGGGTCTGCCTTCACGGTTAGGTAACGCCTCAGTGACATAAAGTCACACCGTACTGCACCCAGACCCAGCTATCCCATCTTACGCTCGTCAAAATGTCAGTGAAATACAACAAGTGTTGGACAAAGCCATCTTGGACCACTACTAGATCTAGAGTCTCTCTTGATACAGCAAAGGATGGAATTATGAAATCTCCGCTTAAGTTATGTAGTGCCGATCCTTTCCCCATCACTTTGTTAATACAGCACAATGTTACTACTATAGTCATTGACCCACTCCATTCACGTACAGCACCTTCATGTGCAAATACCCACTCAACAGCAAACTCTTTGGATTTACAATCTGTATCACTAGATAAGTCGATCAGTATCTTTTAAGAGTTCCTAGAAAAGGAGGTAAAAACATTAGTTGAAACACCGTTTGCCCACCTTGCCCGATCAGTTTGGAACTCACATCCCCAACCCCTAAGACATACAACATCTGAGTCTAAACTTAAGATATCTTTAAAGACATTTATTAATGACACCATTTTTATGTCAGTAGATTCATGTTCAGTACAATGTTATGTAAATGACTAGATCTATGTATGCATTTATTGCGAATATATTCTATTATGTATTGTATGTGCTCATTTCGTAACGATGTGAAAGCGTGCGCGAGTGATAAACAAGTAG